ACAGTCAGCTCTGCTTAACCCGAGGATATGCACGAGAAGCTCCGGATTGCTGTTATGAGGACCTTAACCACTGGTCTTGCACAAGCTGAACTCGGAAAAGTCTAGTTCTGCTTTGGGGATGATAAAGTTACAAAGCGAGCCCTCCGCAGACATCGGAATGGTCTTTGTTTTTTATTTTACACATAATGTGAGGTACAGTAAGAGAGAGTAGGGAGACATTCACGTAAGATCTAGTTTATCGATTCTGCGTTTAACGAGTGTAAGGTTGTAAGTTGAGGAACGACAGAAAGTAGGAGGGTGTTCCGCCATTGGACAGTATGGTGAAGAAAGGGGATTGGAACTGAGAAATATGACATCTGGTGACCGAAATCTGCTAGGAATAACTAGATGCCTATGTACGGGATGGATAGGCAAATGTTACAAGAAGGGGCACAGTCGAGGCAAGCTTCGAAGAACAAAAACCAAAGTAGTAATGGCAGAGCAGGGGCAGTGAAGCAACTGCTCCACGAGAGAGGCCAGTGGCTGCAGATAGGAGGTTAGAGAAAGATCATCGATCAGCCAAATGGCCTTTCGTTGGAAACGATCTAATGGGGGAAGTGAATAAGGCGAATCCCCACCCCACACGTGATTGCAGTATTCAAGAGCAGGGTGGATTTTAACTTTGGACACTAGAAGATGATCTGGGGAGAAGAAGTGTCTGGTGCGGAATAAAAACAACCTTGCGCACAGCACAAGAAGCTAGCTGAGCTATAGAGGAGACCAGCATAACGAAGAAGTTAGGGGCAACTCAAGACTAGAAACAGAGTTTGTAGAACGCATTTGGGTGGAATCAAAATATAAATGGAGGGGGGAGTGGATAGTGTCTTAGAGAATTGGAAACAAGAGAGACTTGAACTATTGATAGAAACGTGTTTTGCAATGGCTCAGGAAGAGATGTGTTCAAGGTCGGAGTCCAGTGACATCTTAACTGCACTACGGTGACAATCGATGTTGGTTTGGACTTGGTGAGCAGTGCGGTGGGAAAGGAAACAGTGGAGGCTTTCGTCTTCCGCAAAAGAATAAATTAGGTTGACGGTTTTAGAAAGAAGATCATTAACAAATAGAAGAAAGAGGGCGGGCGTAAGTACTGAGATAGAACCGTATCAGCTCGGAACGAGATGGTTTGCTTGATATCCAGGGTACAAGAGCCGGAGAGAATCCAACCACGGGCAGTTTCGCCAATGTACCTTCGTGCGAAACTCGATGGAAGACTTTTGAGATATCAAGCGCGATCAGGTGTATTTCTCCATGGTTATTGAGTGCAGCCGACCAGGATTGTCAGACAAAAGCCAGCAGGTGGCCGGTAGAACGACGTTGTCGAAAGCCATACTGGCGGTCGTTCATTAGTCCTTCACGTTTGAGGTACGTTCGTATTGGAGATGCTGGTTTTAAATACGTTCGAGACAGCAGATGTGAGAAAAATGGGTCGGTAGTTGTTGGGGTCAGAAAGGTCGTCACATTTGGGAATGGGCAAGGTCACGGCACTTTCTTTTGTCACAGAAGTTTAATCCTTACCAACCAGATTTTAACATTTACTGGCTGTTTTATGTCATCTCATACGAATACTTTCGCAAAACCAAACTGTGTTCTAGGTCAACAAGCTGCTTGAAGAAATCTGAGCTGGAAGATGAATCCGAAAATCAAACCGAAGATCAGGAAGTTGTTTGCAGGCGGATCGCTGTTCCCGTGTATTATTTTTTACATTGTCGGCCTGTCATGGTTTCTACTCTTGTCTCAAGACGAGTTGAACAATGAAACGTATCTCAGCGAAAACGCTCTGCTTGTCGGTATGTGATAAAATGACCATATTTGATCTTCTCACCTTTTGTGTTTTAAGGTCAAGTTGTGGAGAGATTTGATGATCTGGAATCTATCAACCAGTTCTATGAAAACGCTCGAAAGCTTACAGATCAAACCCATGGTGATACGTAAGTGCATTATCATGCGTTTTCTGATAAACCTATTCACAGAACAAAACTCCAAAAATGGATTGCCAAGCAGCTTGATGCCATTGGTTTAGAAGTCTACATGCAAAATTTCACCTTTTCTCATGATGTGTTGTATCCAATTAAATCGATAGAAGGAACAAACCTATATGGAATCATGCGATCACCAAGTGGTGGTCGAACGGAAGCCCTCTTACTAACCGTTCCTCTGCACTCATCTACCGCGGGTAGCGTGGCCTTAGTGCTTTCGTTACTGAAGACATTAAGACGTAGGCTATTCATCTTAGTGTGAAATATGTGCTTACTACTACCATATCCTGTTTCAGAGCAGATTTACTGGGCAAAAGATATAGTCGTGGTCTTTCCGGAGTCTGAATATACCGGTCTACTGGCTTGGATCGAAGCGTATCATGGAGGGGAAGCGACAACCCGTAAGTTCATTTGGTGCTATGATTGTGGAGTTTTCCCTTCCCCTAATTGGTATGAATCGTTTTACAGCTCTTTTGATTCGCTTGTGATTAGTTGGTTCGTGTCCAGACGTCAAATCTTAATTTGCTTCTCAACTGGAAACTAAATGGTCAGGAATTAGTTACGGTGGAATATTTTTCCGACTTAGGTAGCTGCGTGTCCAATGACGGCAGCGCGGAAAAGGAGACAACCACCCGCATTTCCAAGGCTCGAGCAGCAAATGCAGGACTGAAACACCTTTGGCGTAAGCGCGATGTTTCACTGAAGTTGGAAGGTCGTGTATGTTGTGCTACCGTTCGTTCAGTGATGCTTTATGGTTGTGAGACCCTGAATTCGCGAGTAGAAGATATCCATCGACTAGAGGTTTTCGATTATCGGTGTTTACGCAGTCTAGCCCACGTTGGATGGAGCAAACGGGTTAGTAATATGGAGGTAAGCCATCGTGTGTTTGGGAGTCTATCATGTATAAACCTGCTAGCACACCGAATTCTGATTAGTAGACTTCCTTGTAGCTGCTCCGAGCTGGAGGAAACCACGTGGAGATCAACAGATGACTTGGAGACAAGGCATGGAGAAAAGCACAGAGCGATTAGGTAGACTCGGTGTCTCCCGTCTTCCAGGTTGGGGTCCAAAAGACTATGTAACTGGTTAGTTGGAGACATTGAAGGATATGGCAGCGAATCGACAGCAGTGGCGTTCTTGATATCGTTCTTTATCAGGCCAGAACGCTTGAAGCCGCATGTATACAGAGTTCGATTGTGCACTCTGTGTGTTGACCATAGTGCTTCACCTTCTTCCTCAAAGTAGGTCCAATCCCTGTCCACCTTAAATTTTACCATTATTCTTGTGTGCATCGCGAGTTTGGCAGCGATCAGTGAAGTTCGCCTCACTGTATTTCACTGTACGATGATGATGATGATGATGATGATGATGAAACAGCATGATGTCATCAATGCGCATACACTCAAGGCAAGTGATCAAGCGATTAAATTGGTTATCGAAGAAGCAAACCGTTAGATCCTGCTTGTCTTACAGCTGCATACATTCCTATAATTGCTACGGTTTTGTATGTTTCAAATTTTGAGATTGACAGCTGGAGAGCATCGTAATATAGTTTTACGTATGCGAGATCTTCGGAATCGCATACTTTGAAATGATTAATCATTTACTGCGAGAAGTTAAGTAACATGTTTAGTGAAATTCAATGATAATTCCTCGATATCGATTTAACGAGACCTTCAGATGGTTTCATCCAGCGGGAATTACATCAGAAAGCCAATTGGAACGGACAACATACAAAATTCCATAATTTTCTACCGCCCGCCTGCAGTGTACATTGACTCGCTCTTCTGTTTACAGCAAAACATATCTACTCTGAAGATGCATTAGAAACGGAGTTATCACTTGTGCGGAAGATTATTAGAGAATGGTTATCCAGAAACGTTTATTGATCGATACCGGCCTGACAAAACGGAATCGTTGCCTGTAACTAGAGCTGAGAAAAATACACCACTCATCTAACTAGTCTTCAAAGGAGATCCAACAGCCGATAGGGTTCATCAGAGTCCCAAGTACCGCAATCACAACATTGTTCAATGGTATGTTCTCGACCTCACCTGCGGTCCGATTTCGGAACAAGGATAAGTTGATCGTCAATGCACATTTACGAGTGATAATGCACCTGTGGTGCCACTTATATACGTCGCACAACTAAAAGGCTATATTAACGCCCAAAGAAACATCAAACCACGATACTTAGACGGAAACGGGGTTTAGTTGTTACATATTTGGTCGACGCTGGGCACCCGGTGAACACTAGTTCGGCTTTCACTATCAAGCAACGGGTCCCATAGCACCAATGCAGAGCTATTCAAATAAAAATGTCCAAAACAATCAAATTAGTCATCATCCTCTTTCTAAAGAAAGTCATGTGCCCCCAAAACTGGTTCAGGTCCCCGGCCGCCATTTGACAACACGCAGGAGTGGTGGTGTGATGATCCAAATCAATTGCCAAGGCTTACGTAACCCGTTCATGTCGATGCCAGAGGCATGTATTAAGCGTTATACTGGCTAAGTTTCCTCGTCATGTTATGTTTCCCTGTACAGTCAGGGGGCGGAAGAAGGAGAAGCGTGACCCGCATTAGATTTGACACAAGGATATAAAAAACCCTGACTACAGGACCCTGCTAAATGCGTCGCATGAGACTTTCTGGTTGCGAACTTGGTAATCAACCTCATCGGTGGTTAAGATCACTGATGACTTTTTAAATTTTCTATTACATACATTTGTGTGATAAACAGCAGACTAGGTGGACCCCATAATCGCGAAGACCTACTGTCCAATGATAGAAACAGGTATCCGAGGCTCCGGGACTTGGAGTGGTGAACCACATAAGGCTCCTCTGGGTTAGGCGTGGTATTGAATCGGACGACAGGAAAGTTGTCTGCCACCAAAGTTTTGTGGCGGTGACAGGGTTCGAACCTTGTACCAAAGCACGCCGGTCACGGCGACTGCGGGCGAATTTTTGAGGAATCCTAGTGCCCTGTCGAAAAGGTTTTAACCGATCTGACGGATGAAGATGCATTAGCCTGGTTATTCTATCCTTTTTCGCAACGTATGCCATGAACTGATTTCCTTTTCATGGGCGAATCATTTATTTGACCCGAATTCATCACAGATCTCTCTTGGACAGAATTGGAGGGTCGAAGTGGCAATATTCAAGCCGGTCTCAATCTTGAATTCACTACACCGGATATTCAATCTGTGGATATTTTCCCGGAAGGAGTGAACGGTCTCCTGGCAAACTTGGATTTGGTCAATACGGTCGTTAGGATTGCCCATAAGCACTCCATTCAGTCGGTCGTCAACGGTCAGGTGGGTTACTGCTTTTTTTCAATCCACTCCTCCGTGATTTTTCATTTTTTTTTCCTGTCAGTTAGTGGACAGTTCGTTTCGTTAAAATATAGTAGAATCTGATACTGTTCTCTTTAAATCTATTTCTATATGAGATGCAAACAATTTCTTGACAATTTTGTGTGAAGCATAAAAGGGGTTCTGGGAAGTTTGTTTTCAGGTATCTCAAATTCCAGCGCTCCGTTTAATTCACCCACGCAGTATTTCTCCCCCGCCATCGCGGTGTCCATTAACGTCAATTCATAGAATACGTTTCACGCTGACTGTCTACACACAACTGCACACAATAATGATGGATAAGGCTAGTGGTCCAAATGCTTCACACGCAAGTTCTATCTATCTACCAATTCTTCTTTGGACCAGCTAGTCGGTCTTTTTTAATCAGTATCTTAACGCCAGGATATGTACACATGAAAAACCACAGTCCTCAAATGGAACTTACTAAACTTCGCCGGATCACCTGCACATCGGCGATGTTCGGAACTTTCCGGGCAACTGTTGTCGACTCAAATGTCTTAATTGCTTACATTTTACTGGTGTTTTTAGAATTTCTTCTTTGTTTTTTTCCATTTCCCTCGTGTTTTTAAACTTTCCTCGTTAACTGTATAAAAGTTTGCTAATAATATTATATTTGAATGTGAATTTATCTTTCTCGAGGCATCATCATCATCACAGATTCACGGCAAACTTAACAGACCTGGAAGTCAATTTGAGCTAGCTCTCTCTGAGCCCCGAGCTCGACCAGCAGTCGAACTGATTCATCTGGGCCCATTCCGATCCACATCCAAGTGGGGAGGTTGTTCGTATAGTTAATGTGGATTATATTCCCATCCCTCACGATGTTTTTTATCTTATGTTCTCCGTCACCCACTTTGCTCTTTTCTTGTAGTTTCCTTCAGCGTTTGAAAACACTAAAAGTGGTGCATCAAACCAAATGATCTTTTCGGTATGCGAATTTAAATTGTTGCCCACTTCTCCTCACAGATTTGTTCAAAGTTTCATTCTCACACTCCGGGTTTCAGTTACTATGCCACCCTACGTCATCGTATTTTATGGTTCTTCTGTTTGTTAATTTGGCTGCGGTCTTTGGCGAACATTGTGTTGAAATTGTTGAGCAAAAGGTGTTCGTCTATTCAAAAATTCCATCGTATGTAATTGTTGTATCCGTCCTCAGCACTATCATTGAAGTCATTTGTCCAGTTGCCTAGGTGGTGGTGGCGTAGTGGTTTAGTCGCTGTCACCGGCGTGCTTTGGACCCTATGGTCCGAGGTTCGAGCCCCGCCACCGCCACCCGACTTTGGTGGTAGGCAGCTCTGCTGTCGTCCGGTTCAATACAACGCCTAACCTATCGGGGCCTTATGTGGTTCGCCACTCCAAGTTCCGGGGCTTAGGTTGCCGATTTCAATCACTGAACAGCAGGTCCTTGGGACTATGGGGTTTACCCCGTCTGCTGTTGATCACACCTAGGTGTGTAATAAAAAAACCCAATCAACTCGAACCAATCTGTTGTGTGCTGTATTTGCAAAGTTTTTTTAATTACCGTCGTTTGCGCGATGTGCATGACATAATAGGTGAACTCCGAGAGCCCGCCGTGTTTCGAGCCCGTGGTAATGCAGTAATAGCTCAGCTCACTGTGCCCGACGTATACCATTCTGTTCATTCAATTTGATAACTAGATTCCATGTTACCTGAATCACTGCTGTGACTGCTTTGTTCAAACCCCATGGGGCCTGTACCGGCACTGTTAAGCCAATGTGAGCCGGATTGATGGGAAAGCATGGTATTACACACGGGAATACGGGGGTTGAATATCGATGACAGTTGATCTATTAACTATATAACTATAACTATATATATAAAGGTATAAAATCTGATGAATTGGTGGATTTATTGGGATTTATTAAGTTTTATGCTGGTCACTTCCAGACTTCACAAAAATTGTGGTTAATAATAATTACAGTATTTGGAATAATTACCTTTTACCTATTTTCAGTTTGGTATGCAATAATTGTGAGGTCTAGAAAGGGACTGTGACCGGGCCCCGCTTACTGAGACAGCATCGATGGGATTCCGACTACATGAGCGACCGAACTTAACCACACTTAAAGACGCCGAGTGAAATGGCTAAAACATAAGTGGATGATGATACTCATGCATCCTAAACTCACTTGTATTACTCATCGAACTTTTTTCATTCTTGCATGAGAGTATGAGAGGAAATTCTTCGTGTATAGAGCCAATGAAACGTGAACTGTT